ATATATCAAAGGATAAGCTAAATCGACTACAGAGTTAACTGCAATACTGTATAACGACAGTTTGAAATGGAAGTTGAATCTGTGCACACAAAGCAATATGGGAAGCGGTTCTTGTTCACGTCATAAGTAAGAAAAAGCTAATATGGGAAATGACAACACAATCGTGTGCAGCTTTCCTGAGTCGACGGAATAGGTAAATCCAATAGTAGCGTTTAACAAATTATGTGCTGCGAGTGAAAATGCGCACGTTGATTTGCAGTGCTAGGTTGACGTCCGGATACAGCGGATGAAATGGCGTGATGTGAATGTATGGGTGCATCACTGAGATATTTTTTGAATACTGACAGTGTGGAAGAAAGAACAAGGTAAGTGGGGAGGGCGTTCTATGGTTGGCACACGCGAAGTGAAAAAGAAATTCCGGCGACGATCCAAACAGGCTATAATGTGTGGCCAGCTTTAGCAGGTGACCTCTCAGAGTAGTATAGTGATTCAGCTTCAGATGACTACAAGCTTGGTTCCGATTCTTTAGGATCAAATATGTCATTATCAAATCGCAACACAGGCGTCGATATTGTCCACTGTAGACCCCTAGGGTTTTCATCCACAGTTGGTGAGGGAGATCTAACAGACTACTGATGTTCTTCGTCGCCCTTAGTTGTGGCAAATCAAGTGCGGTGAGGTCGTGCTTGTGTCAGGGCTGCCAGGCGTAAACGGCGTAATCCGAATGGGGTCTAATGTAGCATTGTACATCTGAGAGAAGAAGGCAAGGTTAAAACATCCGAGTGCCTTCCACAAAAAACCAAGATTTTGGTTCGCTTTTTTGAGCGTTTTCTTCTTCTGACATAAACACCCAAAATTTTCTTGTACTGTCACACCTAGGTCATATTCAGTAGTGGCGCGCTGCAAATCCTGACCCCCCCAGTCTGTGGATTGACGGTGAATGCTGAATCCTTATATTTCGCGGCTTTGAAATGAAGCAGCTTTTCAGTCGCCGATTCATATACCATATCAAGCTCATCCTGAACTGCTACGTAGTCACTCGTTGTTTTGGTGACCCCCATATTTCGAGCACAGCGACGAAAAGTAAGAAATAAGAAATGATCACTCTTGTAAGATTGTTTATGTTAATTAGGAATAGGCGTGGACCAATTACTGAACCCTGGGGCACTCCGCATTGACCAACGATAGGGTCAGAGATGGCGCTATGAACTCATATTCAGATGTCATTGAATCAGAAAGTTACCTATCCATCTGAGAATTAGGTAGTCAATTTCACAGCTCCAAAACTTAAATAAGGATGCGGTGGTTCAGACGGTCGGACACCTTTGAGATTTCCAGATAGACTGAGTCAACTCCCACACTACTGTCGACGATTTCTGTTAACCTGGAGCGAGCAAGCAGCAAATTTGGTGCAAGACCGGTTATGGAGGAATGCGTGCTGTTCTGGTGCTACGGTTTTGCATTCCTCCAAGTAATTCATGAGCGCCTCGGCAATAATAAACTCCATGACTTTTCATAGCACCGGCAGGAAAGTTAGCGATCGTTGGCCGGATCTACGCGATTTCCGCCCATGTGGATGGGAGTGATGAATCCATGCTTCCACATTGTGGGAACAATCTCGTCGAAATATCGTTGGAAGAATCTAGAGATCGCATCATCCAAATTCAACGCAGCTAACTTCGGCCTCTTTGATCGGATAGTACAGCACCCGGAGTGGTACGCTCGCGTAGAGCGTTTGGCCTTTACAAAACATATGTAACCATAAATGCGATATGATTAACATCTGGTGCTGTTATGACTTGTGTGAACAGCATAGGTGGCGAAGTCGTGTCCTGGAACTTTGGGGAGAATTGATGACATAGGGCTTTGGCCGATTCTGTTGTAGTTTGTGCTTGTCCACTTGGAGTGCCGGGGGGCAGTAACACCTTGTTACACTTTACTGGGTTTGTTAACATGTTTGTAAAGGAGCTTGCGCTTTAAGGAGATTGTATCAGCTAGGTCCTGCTGATCTTAGCTTATTTTTGCGTACCAGGTCCACTCAATGATGCTTTTGTTTGATAGTGTACGCTTCCCATGTTTCGGCAGCAGGTGACTCATTGCATTTTCGCTAGTGTATCTCTTGTGATCATGCAGTTCAACATCCTGCTGTGCATGAATGGCTTTACTCCCATCGCGCGGGGCTGGTTTGTTGAAACATTGGCTACTAACTTGCTGAATTGATAAACGAAATCCCACCAGGCGACATCGGAAGATAGTCCAGCTAGAAAGGACCAGCCAGCTGCATTAATGGGGGTGGTCAGAATGGCGTAATCAGTTATAAGTCGAGAGTCATCTGCATTTTCTGCGGAATAATCTGCATAACAGAAGCAGCTGAACTATAGTGCTACATGAACCATGCGGCCCAACGGACTAGCTATCAATATAGTTTCGATGATAAGCTCCTCGTTGGTGTACTTGAGATCGAGCGTACTTGGTTTGTTTCCCGTCCTAAATCGTGTGGCGGCGGCGACGTGGTTGTATAGTGGTAATCCAAGGATTAGCTCCTGCAATTCCATTTCGAATCTCTCATCGAGGCAGGCTAGAGTTTCTAGGGCTTGAAGACTGAAGTCACAAACCTGGAGAATGCGACTGTGTGTCTGTGCGACGATAGTTTTCATAGTGGAAGCTAGGTGATTGCCCATTTGTTAATGTGGAGGACAGAGGGCGGTACACGATACTCACTAGATATGCCACCTTGTCTTAGGTGAAGACGACATCAAAGCGCGTCAACAATCTGGACATCCGGTTCAGCGATTAGATAAAGGTGAAGCTCATTGCGGTAATACAGTAGTACTACGCCTCCTTTATTCGGTCGATTGTTGCGCAGAACGGATATTCCGGGTAGTACGATGTCGGTGTCCGTGATCACTTCACTCAATCATGTCTCGGTTACCAGAATGAGGTCCCACAGCATCGTAGTATGACGTAGCCGAAGCTCTGTCAGTTAGCTGAGAAGGCCTTTTGCGTTAGTAGAAAAAGAAGAGATTGCCTTGTATGTTTGAAGTGTGTTGGTGGACACCAAATGTCTGTTTAGTTCTAAGTCCTTTGTTTGTATCTTGGCCGCTAATCGTTTTTGAGTGGGTCATTGGTTCTTGACTTTCGGTCCGGTTGCATAGTAGCACAGAGCGTTTCAGCTCGCCATGTCCTCAAGTGTATCACTCTGTCCTGCCAGGTGTCGAGAGTCACTGTGTCTATCACAGTGTAGGACTGTGGAAATAAAAGTTGAAGTGAGGTTGCATGTTCCAACGAGTTGCTGATCACGGAATGCCAAAGTAAATCCTTGAATAACTATTTTATTTTGTTAGTGTGTTTACTTTCACTTTGAGCCCCTGTTTTGATAATATTCCTTGATAGTTAAATCTTAACTTCCTGCGAGTAACAAAACTTCGTTCTACTAACTATGCACACTGGCATCTGCTGCTGTGGAGCGACGACTTGCATATCATCGCGGAATTCCCGGTAGACTGCTTCAAGTAAAGGTTACCTTCTGGTTGGAGGGTCAATTTCGGATTGCACCTTGTGTGATTGGATTGCGACACGCAAACTCTATGTGGACCTTGATTCGCAATGAAGTGAACCTTGATGCACTCCATCCCCAGGGGAGTAGCTGAAGCGTATTGGAAATGGGTGTTGCCCACCCGAAAACTGTACTCCACTACGCGTTTCAGTCTTATCTGATCTTATCAGGTAAATATAGCGGGCTTCTAACCTGGGTCCACTGAGATCTCAGTTGGAACCGCTGCCTCTATAGCCGCTATGGTCCGGTTCATTACGGATTACCGTCCATATTGCGACTGCGCATCGCAATCCAATCACAATGAGTACAGCAGTGACACTCCAGTCAGTCAGTAACCGTTGTGCTAAGTGTTGCCCATCGTGACTTGGTGGCTAAAGAAGTAGTGGTTCCAATTAAAATCCAAAGGTCGCGGGTTAGGTGCTTGCTATTTTTATCTGATGAGATCAAACAACATTGAGACACATAATGGAGTGCAGTACTTTCTGATGCTCCTACGAAATGATTTGTTCTCTGATGAGTAAATGTTTATAGACTACAGTAGCACTAAAGTATCAAGTCTTCTCAATTGCATTTAAATAGGACTAAGAAGTACCACCGCTTGCGTTTGGGTCTTCTAACATAACGCAAACTGCTAACCAACGATAAAGTTACTAACGTTCGATAAATTCAGTTACTTCACTGGTATACACACCAGTACTAACAAGTTACGCTGCGAACGTGTATCACGGCATGACTGTCTGTGGTCCAAGAATGCTTTTTGTGTTGTTACATAGTCCTGGGATAACTGCGGGGATGCATCGTAAGTATTTGTTCGACGGAACTTCGGCTACAAATATCGAAGACCTTTTAGCCCCTAGTTACCGTCCTTAAAGCGCGGAAGTTTCGGAATAAAATCATTTTCACCGCTGTGAGCTCAAAAATACTTGATTCCGTATTTCACCACGCAGCGCTGCAACTTTTCTAGGGTGCTCATAAGTGATACTCTACATGCTTATCGATTTTCTTCTGAATCCTGCGTTTCAAGTAACATGAGACGGAGTACCCAGATTTATGGTTTAGACAAAGGGACTTAAACAAATGTAGGAACCTCGATTACAACTTGCCGAACCGCTTAATAGATTTTACAAAACTGTTCCGTTAGAATACACCAACCTGTGTTTTTAATCTGCTATGGCTCGATAGTTAATCTAGTGTGAGCCCTATGTACTTCCTCAAGTCCTACTCAGACAACTTTAGTCCGCGCACTCGATGTCAGTGCAGCTTAGATATCTTACCACTTTCTTCAAAGTTTGTTTCAATATCAAATGCTGATGTGTATTTTCGATCCCATAGCACCATGGAAGTTCAATTAGTATCTTTCGGTTGCTTAGAAGCAACTACCTGTTGAACACTGTAGCAAGCAACTTACATCATTATTGCTTGCCATTTTCTCCCGTTTCTGCAGAATTGACCTCTGACAAGACAGATCATGAGCAAAAGCAGCTTGCAAGACTCCGTAGAGCAATGAGTGTAGACGATGTGCCATACGAGCGATTCCGTGGTGAGTTTGGCCTGAGAAAAATGTAATGTAATGCAATGCAGTGAAAGTGTGTGAAATAAATAGGAATGTCTTTAAATGTTGACGACTATGAACGCGTAGTGGATGATTGATGATGCTTTGATGCCCAGTGTTTTCCCATTCCTTCCAAAAAGGTGAAGGTGGTTTTACGGACATGCAGGTCGGGATGACCAACCCAGCGAAGCGTGCAGAGCTTGGCCTTGCTCCCGGGTACAGACGTAACTCAGCCTGGTTCCCGATCGGTGAGTCAAATCAATGGAATTCTATTTTCACCTAACCATTGCTTCAATATAACTGAGTAACGAGTAGGACCATAACCCTAAGGGTTTTGTTTCAGGGCCTTCGAAATAGCCGCATCCAATAACATTCAACTTCCCTTTGTCAGCGAGCCTGGTCGCCAGCATATTTACGGGTATCTTGTATATCTTTGACTTGTCAATGACATACAGGTTACGACTAAACCTATTCAAACTGGGATCCACAACAAAAAGTAAAATCATATTTAAGCGCAACCCACTGAAGACAGATCTGCATATATTTGTGGGAATTTCGCAAGGGCGCTACGCCGAACGCGTTTAATGTGATTACATTTTAATCAATTTGCAATCAGAAGATGGAAGCTGCAACCCTTCTGTTTCTATATCTCATGGCAAATTACTAACGGCCAATGTTCATTCAATGCACAGTACTTAGGGAAAGGGAGTTGTCTTAGTTACTGGGTTGAAGTGGACGCTTTGCTTAGATCACAAAACGAAGTATTTAATCAACGCAAATAACCTTCACTGACACGATCGTGACCAGTTATTAAGGTATTTAGAAAGCAAGTAATGGAAGCTTCGCTCTCGCTTGATTATTAGTTTAGAACTTGGTCATATGTCATTGAACCATGTGCTTCACTACAATATTTCGGAGTTTTTTGACGACCACTCAAACTGACCATGACGGCACAGAAGTAGCCGTGAACCGGTGGTTCCCAACCCAGGGGTAATTACCCCACAAAGTGGTAGATTGTGTCATTACCTAGAGTAAACTAACTGCAAGAATTGGAGCACAGCTCACACAAGAAACAAAATTATTAACAACCTCACCTGTATCAAATCACCTCCCTATTTTCTTGATTTGAAAAATTACCAAGTAAATGCGTGGGTGCCGAGATCCGTTTTAGTGAATGAAGGAATCTTCCCAGACAGAGCAGTTAAATTCAAAGCACAATTCCTTGGACATCGTGGAACAACACAAGGAAAATTGATTTCCAAAACACAGCATTTCAGTTTGGACAACAATTGGTGGCCTGTATCCATTACTACTGTAATAAGTATAGAAAGTACTGATCCAATTCGTCACAACTTGCATGTGTGACGACAGTAAAAACAGAACTAAGGAACCGATTTAATTTGGCTTATTGGCCAAAACTGCAACATATGTTAGAGATATTGTTAAAGCTAAGCACTATCAACCGTCCCATTAGTTTAGATTGCCTGTTGATTAAGTAACAAAAACCAATCAAAAGTAGGTATTCTCTTTGTCAGAATGATTGAAATTCATTGAAACACGTTTATTTACCATATCTTCAAACAAAAACACGATGGTTAATAGCTATGTTAGTTTTCAAAGCAACATATGGGGAGTAATTGTTTTTAATGAACCTGCTTTAAAACCTGCTTAGAATGTTTAGAATCACTGCCGTAGACGAACACACCCAAGCAATAGGACGAGTTCATGCCCAATGATACGAAGGACCGCAGCGCCTTTAAGTGTGGTCTGGCAATTCGCGCAAAGTTTGCACGAATCAGTGCGGTTAGTCTTCTTTGATCCGATACTCGTTAAAGTTATCTCGCATTTTAATTGTCATTAAGGCTACTAATAAAGTAGCGCCCTTATCTACCGTTTTTCAGCGATCGGAGTGACGTGCTTCTTGCTCGTGGCATTAGCAGTTTTCGGAACCGTGATGTACTACTACAGGTAAGTGGGCATTGCTGTAAAAGCAAGTGCTAGTAATCCGTTACTCAATATTAACTTTACTCAATGCACCTGCCTGATAACTCACCGTGAGTTGAAAATCCTTTCACAGGGTTTATGTGCCAGGAACGAATAAAATGGATGCTTTTAACAAATTCGGCAGCCAAAACGGGGGATCTGAAGGAGTCGCAGAATGGACCGTTTTGCGACCTGCTGGTAGTCGCACGGATGGTGATCGAAAGTTGGCTCATTCAGCCCAGATGTATCATTATCAACACCAGAAGCAACAAATGCTGGCTGTGGAACGGTAAGGACTTTGTATAGTTCAAATGATCGTTGAGCGGTCGATTCGAATTAAATCAAACGTTAAACCTGGATACTGAGTACTGCAAATACTAGAGAGTGGACAACAATAGATCTGAGTCTCTTTTATCGGAGTTTGACCAAAAATGCACGAGGAATGATGCCAGCAATTCCCGCTCATGTTCAACACGTTACAGCTGTACAGTGATTCCTGTGCGATACGCTCTGTAAATCTAAAATCCGTAAGACCGTTGTTCAGGTATTTTTAAGTTCCGACACAGTGTTTGTTTTGACGACTGTTTCCCGTAAACTGCTTCACTATTTCACCACACACGGCTCAAAACGTAGAGAGGGAGTCATACGGTTTAAATCAGGCACCACAAGCTTTTACCAGTGCTCCAAAGTGCGCGCACTCCGAGAAGTCACCCACATGTAATATTTGACACGTCAGTCTGAGATCAACCCGAACTCGTCAATTTGGCACGGTGTACAGCCCGTAAGAACCTGCACCGGTCTTCGAATGACATACTCCGTAAGCTGTGGTTCAGCTTGATAGCTACATGCTGAACGAGTCCAGGTATTTTGCACCTTGTTACACGTGATCTAACAGTAACGTTTACCACTGAGTTAGTCATCTGAAAAACTGTATACTTACTACGTTATGCGATCTCCTGTGGTCCCAATACGTGACTTTACATTAGCCGCTACGGAGTCACATTTCTTTTCGGCTAACTCTGTGATGTAGCAAGCAATATCGTTACGTATAAAAGCCACGTTATGCAATACCCCAACATTAGCTACTTCTTTTCCATCAAACGTTATCTTTCATCCTTCCTCCCTTGTTTATCTTAATGTGACGCCAAAGAAAAGCAAAGAGCAGTCTTGCGAGTGTTCAAAACACCGCCTTACTTGTGCGTAACTCTGTCGCACCCAGAAATCTATACAGCTATTTTATTGGCATAAATTGTCTCCATTCATTCAGTTATTTTTCTATTCCTAGTGCCGAGCAAATCTAGTAACTGCAAGATTTATCTGATTCTGGTTAAAGAAAACTTTTTATCATACTCTCTCTAAGGAAATAAATGAATTTATTCTGGATGGAACGAGGCATACCGAGAAAAGCGTGATTTGTGATATTTGTTTTGACTAAAATTATCTCCATATCACCGGCCACCGTGGTCTTAAACAAAGGCTGGATTACCAATTCCTACTTTCATGCTAAGGTGATAAATTACATTCTCGATGCTCAATCAAATACGATTCGAATAACTTGATCCCGTTAATAATGTGAGGTATTCAAGCTATGGTTGCGCCGAGTTAGCAACATGTCAGTTACCCTCAGCAAAGGACTATTTACCTTCTACTACAGCAAGCGTAAACACTAGTTTGTTGCGGTCAGAGCAGCGGCTGTCTTGTGTATCCTTTTGGTTGTTCGGGATACAAAGTTGTCAGAAGGTTTGTCACCGAACACAAATACGAGGCAAATAAAGTTTCCGCGAGCGTTTTATTTCACTGTACGCGGAAGATCTCGGTTAACCGATCTGCAATTGGCCGGTTTCAAAAATGGAAATGGTGCTTACTTTTTTAGTACTACTTCATTGTACAGCGTCCAGGATAATACTGCTGGACAAGTGTCGCGTCGCAACAATTCCGGAAACTAAATGCTAATGTGATAGGCACCGTCCTTGCTGAAATGGTGGTTAATGGTCAGTTTATACAAGGATGTGTTGCAGCGTTTCAGAAAACTTGGTAAACGACCGGTTAGTGTATTTATGATGATACACGTTTCGCATTTGACACAATTGCTTCATCAGGCTTCATCATCATAAATACATTCACCGGTCGTTTACCAAATTTTCTGAAATGATGACTTCCCGATCGGTTCCAAATATGTTCCAAGATATTGAATGTGTTGCAGCGGTTGCTATGACGTTTAATTATTTCAAAATCATTAGACTTTGACCACTTCAGTAGCCCCAGGCAAACTAGCACTATGCTGACACACTCAGAGCTCTCTGTCATACACCGGAAGTTGCAGGCTCTGCTCCCAGCTCAGGTATTCACTAGCCGTGTGAAGCTGTCTGCCTTACGCTGCTTTTGACATCAGTAAACGGGAGTCATCATCAACAACAGCCGGACATCAGCCATTTGAACTGATGCTTCGCTGCCATACAACCATGATGACCTTTGGAATAAAAAATAATAAGAGGGAGAGAAGGGGGACTTACCGGAAAACCTAAATGCCCTAAGCAAACATTCAGGTTCAAGCCGCCTACACCTTGCGTAGACAACATACCGTCACTAACAGGTGGCTATCGTGCAAAGATAAGGCGGCATCGGCTAGACAGCTTTCTTGCGGTTTTTACTGCCCCGGGTCATAATCAGCCATCACCCAGCAGATAACTCAGCACCAAAACACACTTTAAACAGGCAATCCGATTAGATGGCAGCTGACGTGACAATACTGTCGGTTGCGAGCGACGTCGTGTAATGTCTCTAGCCAAGCCACATCGTCTGCATAATCATGATCAAATAATCTTTCACCAGACAGGACCTCAACGCATAGATCTTACGATTCCGCAAGGAATACTCCATGACAGAGTTCACAAGGAACTTGAACAAAAATAGCGAAATCGAACGACCCTGACGAAGGCCACTTGTGGTCGGAAAGCTATCCGACAGGTCACCGTGAACCTGACGAGGCTTGTAGGTTTCGAGTATAGAACACGTTGATGTTCACATATTTCGTGGGAACATCTTTTCACGCAAGTACTTCGAACAGAATCGATCGATCAACTGAATCGTACGCACTCTTGTAATCGAGGAACACAGCTATTGTCGGTCTGCGGTATGCGTGGCGCTGCTCTAGCACCTGCCGTAAAATGAATATTTGGTCTATACAGCCATGTCCTGGGCGGAAACCGGCCTGCGCTTCCCTACTTCGAGATTACCGTTCCACAGTAAAGCGACGAACAAGAATCGAGGCCAATATTTTTGTTACAACAAGCGTTAGGCTACTACCTCTGTAGTTAGAACAGTCGGTGCGACTGCCCTCCTTTATGTCGTCACCATAATCGGTTCGCTCCAGTTAACCGGAACACTCTCTTCCTTCCAGATACGTTCGAATATGAAGGTCATTACTTTGCTTAGAACCTCAACTTCATTCTTACATAGTGCAGGTGGGAGGTAATCCGAGTTGGTGACAGGAAAAGGATTGAGGGCTATGATCCCGTTACGGACTTCGGCCTACGACGGAGGCTTTAAGCTAATTGTCTATGGCTCGTCCTGCATCACCTGAGTAGGAAGAGGTCCGGGAGCAGGGGCCAGCTAAACTGACTTTGAGTGTGCCACCCAACCAGGCATGCGGCACTGCTTGTTGAGTATCAGGGCACCCGCGCTGTCTCTGATTTTCTCACTGACGCCTGGTTTCCTGGGACCAGTGGTGCGGATAAGGTGGAAGAGCTTGCGGTAATTGCCTACTGCTCCTGCCTCCTCCATTTCCTGAGCCCGAGGGATCCGCCAGTCTTTCTTGTCAGCACTTATGCTCCGCTTTAGTTAACGCCTAACAGCCAGTCTTGTGCTCAGAGCTTGCCAGATGGTTTCTGCTAGATTCCAACAGGTTCACCGACCTCTCGCATCTCCAGCGACTAGTGCGGTGACCATTGATAGTGCCACAAGCAGATGCTCCTGCAATGTGCATGGCGGCCGAGATCCTATTCACTGAATCTCAGTATGAGTAGAACAAGACAGCGAATGTTCGGTACACAATGCGTCTTGATAGGCTTGCCTGACCGAGGGCTAAGACAATTTCTCGGTTACCAATCGGAGGAGACGCTTGGTGCGCCTCCCGACAAAGTTCATGGATAAACGACAGCATACCAATGCATGATCAGAGTCGACTTCGGTACTGCAGTACGTGTTGCAATTCAGGGTGGAAGCAAGCCACCTGCAACCTATGGCAATGTTGTCAATTTGAGTCCATCCCTGGCCAGCTACAGAAGAACGCCAAGTGGCACTTCGGCGCCCACTGTGTCTAAAAGCAGTGTTACTAAGAAACAACTGATGCTCCGCACACAGTTGCAGCACAAGCTCACGGTTGTCAGCCCCATTTGGAGTTCAGCTCATAATTACTGCCCAGCTGAGCTTCTGAAGAACTCAGACGCCCTTCCTGTGCATTCATATTCCCTACAAGTACTATAATATCTGCACTAGTAGCACTGCGTAGTGGCTGGTTCAGTTCGTGGTGGGATGTGTCCTTGACAGCATTAGAACTACAGTCGGTGGGAGCATAAGCGGAAATCACAAATAAACAGCGTATTTTACTACTTGGTGAATAATCCATAGCTGATGTCGTCAAACGAGCTGCACGTGAACGGCTGTTCTCCGGAATCCAATCAAGCAAAGTAAACGGTAGTGCAGTGTTGTAACTTTATGTGTTAGGTATAACGACCTTAGTCAGAACAATGATTCAGAGCTTGTGAACGTGTCTTTCATAGAGAAGTGGCTGATCGAATTCGGTGAATAGTCGACTAACGGTTCTTATTCAGGGTACCAAAAAAACACGGATACCGCACGACTACTCGCAACCCCAAGAGAGGATAAGGCAATGACATTTAATGAAGTGTTTAAACGGCTTAAACCAAGGATGAACACGGTCTGTATCGCATGGCATTTATAGCGTGGGTGAGTTCGCTATCGGGAGAGCAGCGTAACTGCTACTGATAATGCAACATAGGTGGTTAGCTGAGTTTAGCAATTACCACCTGATAACGGTATTACTGAAGATATTACGCATTCTATGACACGTAAAACCGTATATTGGGTATGGCAGGGACAAGTGTCGACTGGCAACGATGTCACCGACCACACATCGCACAGCCGTTCCAAGGCAACATGGCTGGCAAACCTGGAGAATGCAAAACGCGTCCAGCGTGAAGTTGCTGTGGAACCATGAGGTCTGCACATCACCTAGATACTGAATACTGTTATTGGAGCAACGAGAAT